ATTAAGATAATTATTCCTAATTATCTCCATAATATTCCTTTTATTAATTATCCATCTTAATTTCGTATATAGAAAAATACTGGATAATTAATTCAATATAGCTTTCAAAGCTATTCATTCCCAACAGAAGTAGAAAGATAATTTTATTTATGACATGCGTCATTTTTTTAATTGTGAACCGGAGAAAAAGAATAAGGCCATAAGAGGCAATCAGGTGGCATTCTTTTCATTCCAGATGCATATATGTGTCAAGCATGCAAATATGAAAAAATGGAAAAGAACAGTTATATGCATATGAATAAATATGAATCAACTCATCCATGGTTCTAATCATGATAACCCTCCAGGCCTCCGCCAAAACTTTCTTTCGCCATCTCCTCCTATGTTTCAATGATTATTCAATCTCTACCGCTATGCGCCGTAGTTGATCAAATTATTAAATGGGGGCGAAAGTTGCTCAAGGTGGAGGGCAATGGACTATTGTGAGCAGTTGAACTGATGGTTTGCGCATCGACTGCATTTAGCTGGAAACGGCGACCGCACTTGTAGAAAGAAAACTGTAGATCATTGGAGGAGAAAAAATATTGGCCTAAACGATGAACCCCTGGTGGATAATGGTGGAAAGTTTGCATAGGAATTAACAGAAAGAGGAAAACAGGGGAAGGATGAGGGTGCACAGAACCTTGCGTGGACTTGCCCCTATCTTACTGGACCCCTTAAGCTATTAGGCGCTATTTATATAATAATTATTTATTGTTAGTACATGTTGATAGGAGTTGGGATTATTTGTACGCAAACATTATTTATATGCTCGTGTGGAATAGAGAAGGTATCAATTTTTACCCCAAACAAACCCTAAAGGCTTCTTTCTGCGCCTAGCAGGAAAACAACCCTAGGAACGTGGTTTACGTTCCCATCAATTGGTATCAGAGCCATGACCGTGGACGTGGGAGCTTGCGCCAAGGCTTATACAGCGGCGGTGCGTACACAGGCGGCATGTCTCGACATGTCCATGGAACTCCGGGCCTTCAAACGACAGTTGGCCGGCTGGCTGAACGAGCCGGAATGCGAGACCACCGATGGCGGCTCGCGGAGCGACGACAACGTGGCCGACGTTGCCGCCAACGACGATGTTTCGGCCGGTGAGCAGGTGGAGCTTTCCCTCAATGCGGCGGCGGGAATCGATGGCCCCCGGACCCTCCGATTTCGCACGCAGGTAGCAGATGTGCAGGCAATTCTTTTGGTTGATAGCGGCTCGACTCATAATTTTATCTCGGAGCACAAGGCTAAGGAGATGAAGTTGGGCATCGCACCTATAGCACCCTTCTCGGTGCTGATAGCAAACGGTGAGCCGATGCGCTGTCGGGGCAGGTGTGATGATGTGAAGGTCACAATTCAAGGCGAGGAGTTCGTCGTCTCCTTGTATATTCTGCCGATCCGCGGAATGGACATGGTATTCGGCGTCCAATGGCTGGCCGACCTCGGGCCGGTGACGTGCGATTGGCGAGCTCTAACTCTGAAGTTTAAGTGGCGCGACAAGGAGTTGGCACTCCAAGGCATCCAACCACGCCGCACAGCGGCCTCGGCAGCCGAGATTGTCCACGAGGACGGGGTGGTGTGGGCACTTTGCTGGCCACTTCAGACCGCGGAGATCGACCCCCTCCCACCTGAGCTGCGCGAGCTGGTGCGCGAGTTTGAGGCGGTGTTCGAAACACCCTCCGCGTTGCCGCCTTGCCGGGATGTCGATCATCGCATCAAATTGAGAGATGGGGCGGATGCGGTAAATGTCAGGCCGTATCGTTACGCATATCATCAGAAGGCTGAGATCGAGAAGCAGGTTGAGGAAATGTTGGCAGCAGGGCTAATCCGCCCAAGCCTCAGCCCGTTCTCATCCCCAGTGCTTTTGGTAAAGAAAAAGGATGAGACGTGCCGTTTTTGCACCGATTACAGGGCTCTCAACGAAGTGACTATCAAGGATCGCTACCCCATCCCCACGGTGGAGGACATGCTGGATGAGATCCACGGCGCGAAATTTTTTACACGGCTCGACCTGCGAGCAGGCTACCACCAGATCCGTATGCACGAGGAAGATGCTCATAAGACGGCATTTCGAACACATAACAGACATTATGAATATCTTGTTATGCCATTCGGCCTATGCAACGCCCCTTCCACTTTTCAAGCGGCCATGAACGATCTATTTCGCAGTGTCTTGCGCCGGTACGTGCTAGTTTTTTTTTATGATATTCTAATTTATAGTGAGAACCGGCAGGATCACTTGCAGCACGTGCGCGAGACCCTAACTATCCTAGCCCGTAACCAGTATTATGTGAAGTTCTCGAAATGTGCATTTGGTCTCTGCGAGCTTGAGTATTTGGGTCATTTCATATCGGATCGTGGTGTCCGCGTCGACCCCGGCAAAATTGAAGCCATGGTCGCTTGGCCGCAGCCGAAGAATGTCACTGAGCTACGGGGTTTCCTCGGCTTAACCGGGTACTATCGGAAATTTGTCCGAAATTATGGCCGCATCGCGAAGCAATTGACTGAGTTATTGAAGAAGGGAGGATTTCAGTGGAATGCGGCAGCCAGTCAGGCCTTCTCCGATATGAAGCAGGCAATGGTGTCAACCCCGGTACTTGCAATGCCTAATTTTGCCATTCCATTTGTGATAGAAGCTGATGCTTCGGGCAAGGGGATTGGGGCCGTGTTGTCACAGGAAGGAAAGCCAATTGCCTTCATGAGTAAGACTTTGGGGCCGGCAAAGGAAGCATGGTCCACATATCAAAAAGAAATGCACGCCATTATCACTGCTGTTCAAACCTGGCGTCCGTACCTGTTGGGTCAGAAATTTCATATATATACTGATCAGAAGAGCTTGAAGTATCTCTTGGAACAGCGGATAGCGACCCCAGATCAGCATAAGTGGGTGAGTAAGTTGCTGGGATTTGACTACGAAATCCATTACAGGCCGGGCACCAGTAATTGAGCAGCCGATGCCCTGTCTCGCGTACCCTCAGGCGCGCAGCTAGGCGCCATTACTCGGCCAGTGTCGTCGTTGTGGGAGGAGCTTAGGGCAGCGGTGCTGGTGAATCCATACATGCAGGCGATGAAGGAAAAGGCTCTCTCTCCTGATCCAGGTCACTTTACTTTTCGTGCCGGGCTGATTTTCTACCGCGGCCGAGTGGTTCTTCCCCCGCTATCCAGTCTCGTGACTACTGTACTCCAGGAGTTTCATGATGGTCCAATGGGTGGCCACTTTGGCGTCCGTCGCACCATGGCTCGACTTTCTGGCCATTTCTATTGGCCGCAGATGAGACAGGCGGTTCAGGATTACATCGCCAGCTGTGATACATGCCAACGTGTGAAGACGGATTCGTTATCGCCAGCGGGACTGTTACAGCCGTTGCCCATTCCATGTCAAGTTTGGGAAGATATTTCCATGGATTTTGTTGAGGGCTTGCCAGTTTCAGGGGGTCACTCCGTCTTGTTCGTTGTTGTGGACCGGTTGACCAAGTACGGTCATTTTATGTCCCTTAGTCACCCATTTTCGGCCCGACGAGTGGTGGAGGAGTTCATTAACGGCGTGGTTCGTCATCATGGCATGCCTTCCTCGATTGTCTCTGATCGTGATGCCATATTCCTTAGTACATTCTGGAAGGAATTTTTTGCTCGAACTGGTACTCGCATTAATATGAGCACGGCCTATCATCCCCAGTCAGATGGCCAAACTGAGGTGGTAAATCGGTGCCTGGAACAGTATTTACGTTGTTTTGCTCATTCGCAGCCTCGACGCTAGCACATGTTCTTGCCGTGGGCCGAGCTTTGGTATAATACATCATTCCATCGATCGATCGGCATGTCCCCATTCAAGGCCCTGTATGGCCGTGAACCCCCTAGCATTATTCCTTATGAAGCGGGCGGCAGTGGAGTGGGGGCGGTCGATCAACTCTTGTGCACGAGGGATGAGATTCTCCAGCAGCTTAAGACGACGTTAGAGGCGGCTAATGCCCATAATAAACAGTTGGCGGACTTGAAAAGGCGGGATCTTCAGTTTGAGGTGGGCGATCTCGTTCTTCTGCGTTTGCAGCCGTACCGCCAGCACTCCGTGTTTCGTCGTGCTTCTCAGAAGTTGGCGGCTAGTTATTTTGGCCCGTATCCCGTGGAAGCACGCGTGGGGGCAGTGGCCTACCGATTAACTCTACCGGATGGGGTACGTATTCACCTAGTCTTTCATGTTTCACTTCTTAAACCATACAAAGGATCTCCCCCTATGGCCGAGCCCACGCCGTTGCCGATTAATGATGATGGGGAGTTGCAAGTACGACCGGCGGAGATACTTGATCATCGCTGGGTGCGGCAAGGTGGCACATTTGTCGAAGAATGTTTGGTACGCTGGGACGCACTGCCGCGGGATGATGCCACCTGGGAAAGTCGGACGAGGTTTGAGGAGCGCTTCCCCAGTTTCGACCTTGAGGGCAAGGTCGCCCTTCCGGAGGGGAGCAATGATGGAGCCACGTCCATCTCCAAACCCCAGCCCATGCAGAGGAGGACGTCCGCGCGACAACCCAAGCCCAGCAGTCGTTATGACGATTATTATTAATTATTTATTGTTAGTACATGCTGATAGGAGTTGGGATTATTTGTACGCAAACATTATTTATATGCTCGTGTGGAATAGAGAAGGTATCAATTTTTACCCCAAACAAACCCTAAAGGCTTCTTTCTGCGCCTACCAGGAAAACAACCCTAGGAACGTGGTTTACGTTCCCATCAACAACAACAACGATTAACTTAATTCATAGTCTAAAACACAGGCACGATGAAGGTGACCAGCCAAACCTCTTCTTCCATCCTCCTCTTCATCGCCACTCTAGTTCTCGCTGCGGCCTACGTGTAAGGCCAGAGCTGCAGGCCAAGTTTTGGCACATTACAGGGCTAACTCCACCACCGGGGCAATGCAACCAAGGAGAGGAATCCGACTGCTGCAAGACCGGCAAGCACTACACCAAGTACAAATGCTCCCCTCCGGTCTCAGTTAGCACAAAGGCGACTCTAACTTGGAACAGCTTCGAGGCAGGAGGCAGCGACGAAGGCCGATCCAAGTGTGACAACCAGTACCATTCTGACGACAAGCCTATAGTTGCATTCGATCTCCACGGGATGGTTCTAACAAGAAAAGCAGGTGTCTCAACTTCATCAACATTCATGGGAATGGCAACACTCTCAGGGCCATGGTAGTTGATGAATGCGACTCCACAATGGGGTGTGATTCCGATCATGATTACCAGCCTCCTTGTCCTAACAAGATCGTCGACGCGTCCAAAGCAGTTTGGAAGGCATTAGGTGTGGGGTCTGGATCCTGTGACACTACAAAAAAGAAGAGGTTTGGGGACGACAAGAATTGTCCCCGGAAATAGGTTCCCTATACTCTTGTCCTCTATTTTTTTGGGGACGATAAAAATTAGGTCGTCCCCATTACTAGGGATGACAGTCGTCCCCGATACATACGAGTTGTCGTCATGTTTCCTTCCCATAAAAGACAACATGTCGTCCTTATAGGTTTGACTTCGGCGACAATAAGTTGTCTCCTAAACATTATTTCTAGAGACCAAATTTTGTCCCTTTTAATCCATTTCTTGATCCGTTGCGGCTATCTGGGGATAATTTGATGTCTCGTTTTTTCTGTATAGGGTGAACATGTAATTGCTATAGTTGTTTAATTGAAGTCAATATATCTTTAGAGACAAACAATTGTCCTTAACTTTTGTCTTGGGAGACAACGAGTGGTCATCTAACAAGTTTTTTTATTATATTATTTCGTTTTATCACAAATAGCATTACTTTTGGAGAAAAGAACTTAATAGTTAATATCTATATCGAGAATTGGAAATAAAGTACATCAACAATTAGCCAACATTCATTGGAAGATAAAACTAAGAATATGAATGATGAAAGTACTATCAAATACAGAAAATTACTTCGCGACCATGAAATAAGATAATAATTCCATCAATCCGAAAATGCCTTCAAGGATTCTTCATTTGGACTTGATTGCATCTGTAATGGCAGCAACACAAAGAAAATCATTCATCTTATTCAGCAAATAATTAGTTCATAAAACACAACCAAAAGAAAAGGAACACTCTCCTACGTCTCACCCTCTTGAGTGCATTCCACATGGATTCTATCAATGCAAAAGGAGCATATTCATCAGTAACCTCGAGTTACAGAGCCAGAGATACCAGCTGTTGTCTCCCTTGAATGCCACGACTTTGTACAATCGCTCAACCACTTCCTTTTCGTCGGAAGCTGGTTGTACCCCACAAAGCAATCGGCCAAAAGCAGAGCTCGTAGAATGAATAGGTATGCAGCGGCGGCAAAAAACCCCTAAGGGGATGAGAAGAATGAAATAGGAGTCCGGATTGAAGATGATAATTAAGAGATATAAATATATATACCGTAATAATATATATGTGTGTAACTTAAGATGTATAGCGATTGGCGGATGTAAAACTTATTTCTTTTTTGAAATTTTTAACTTTTTGAGCAGGATAGAGAAAGTTTTGAGAAACAAAAAGCCAAGTAAAAATCTTTAAGGTGAACACGGAAAAACAAAGTTTTGAGAAAAAAATGGAGAAAGTTTAGCTAACAAAAAGATAAACTATCGAAACTTGATTTGGGGACAGATGAATCCGCCAAAAAAAATATTTCCTCTCAATTTCATCCAAGTTTGATATATTTTCCCGAACTTTTATTTTTGGGACAACTTGCCAAAATCGAAAATTAATGAATTTTCAATCCTTATTTTAAGGGGACAGTTTATACGCTTGGTCCCTAATAGTACTTAAGATTTTATTTCCAAAGACAACATATAGCAGTTGTCCCCAACAATAGTTCCCATACCTCTAATTTTTTGTAGTGTGACTAAGGGGGTGCTTAGTCACTTGACTAAGCCACTCCCAGCACTTAGATCTGGACACACCAATCTGACGGTTAAAAAGTGGGAAGGGCTATTTAATTAATGACAGGGGTATTTTGGGTATTATGGAAAATTACGAAGTATACAAACCGGACTTACAATCAGTACAAACCATACAAAAATACGAACAATACAAACTAGGATGATAAAACATACAAACAGATTTACAAACAGTACGAAACATATGAACTATACAAACCATACAAACTAGACCGACAAATATTACAAAACATACTAACAGTACAAAATGCCACTACTTACAATACAAAACAGTAAACTTGTATTACAAATCAATGAATACAAAGTATACAAAAAGAACAACAAAAAGTATACAAACTAGACAAACAAACATTACAAATTAAAATCTATACAAATCACTCATATAAACATTACAAACATAATAGATAAAAAATGACGAACTAAAATTATAAACGATACAAAACGAATTGATACAAAATTACAAAACATACTAACAAACATTACAAAATCGTCCGACAAACATAACAAAACAGACGTTGTCGGCGGAAAATCTCTCATCGCCGGGAAATCCTCGTCGTCCCCAAAAAATTCATCGATTACGAAAAGCTCTCTCTCACCAAAATCCCCATTGCCGCCACTAATTAGTAATTTCCATGGAGGGTGAAAATCCCCGCTGCAAATTGTCTTGACGCCGCCACGAACAAGGGATTGGTCTAGTGGTAATACTACTCGCCTTGAACCTGGAGGTCCCAGATTCGAATTCCTTCAGTAGTACCTAATTACAAAAAATAACCTATATCACCCTTATCTATAAAAAAAATTGCCTTGACGCCGCCAGGAAAAATTCCCAAAAGCTGACCGATCGGAAGAGCAAGGGTGGGAGAGACATTTCAGCCCACTTTTTTTATTTTATTTATTAAATAACTACATTGTCCTTCATTTATTTGAATTAATCTAAACCATTGAATTTTAATGACGTGAAAGGGCTGAGATTCACTTAGTCATGTGAACCTCTCCTTAGTCACATAATCTTATCTCGTGAGTGTGCCTGGGAGTGATAAGGGTAATCTGGATATCTCCTAGTCTGATGATAATTGATGATTCACATTTGGTTGTTTCTATGTTTGTTCATCAGTGTTTCTCATTTTGTACATATATGCATTGTTCATGTCGGGAGCAGATCATGTGCATCTCTATGGTCAATAATCATGCATAATCTAATATCAATTCGCAACATTAGCGCACCTTCTATCTCATGGAAAGCCTTTAATTTTTCCCCCTTAATCTTTAAGGACGATTTCTCACTCGTTTTAAATCGGATTTAATTTTTTTGCACAGTTAGAGTGAACGAGGAAACTTACCATTCCGCCGTCGGTCAGTTATTCAGCTCGGCTGATTAATTGTGCTCTTCAAAATGATATTCACTTTGATATATTTTTGAACCAAAAAAATGGGTAAATGCCACATTTGGTTACTGAGATTACTAAATCATGTCATGTTTAGTCACTAGAAAAAATTAATATAATTTTTGGGTCACTCGAATTTCTGAAACATGTCACATTTAGTCACTCTCCCATTAGTTTCCATCCTACTCCATTAACGGAGTTGGACAGAGGCTAACAGAGAGTGACTAAATGTGACATGTTTCAGTAATTCGAGTGACATTCATAAAATAAAATAAAAAGTAATTATAGTGACTGGAGTTCGACGGAGGCTAACAGGAGAGTTACTAAATGTGACCCGTTTAGTAATTCGAGTGACCAAAATTGATATTAATTTTTCTAGTGACTAAACATAAGACGATATAGTAATCTCAGTGACCAAATGTGGCATTTAACCACAAAAAAATGAGTCGTTTTTTTCAGTATATATCATATGGTATTGATTGGTATTGAAATAAGAGCATACCATAAAGTTATTAAAAGTGTACCATGGTGGTATGAATATACCAAGAATGTAGGATGATTGAATGTATGATAGTAGGAGTATACTAACTGTCATTTACAATGTTCAACATTGTGTACCACAAGATACCACCACGTACCATGGTGGTATTGTGTGGTATTTTTTGGTCCTGTATTTTGTTCACTCAGAATTTTATAGATCTAATATATCATGATGAACTCGTTGATTCTATGCAAAAAATTTCAAAAACGACTTTAAAACGAAGGAGATACCATATGGTATGTGATTGGTAATGAGACATGAATTTTTTTCCCAAAAAAATAGTGAAAATGGATCTCATTTTGTAGAGCACGACGAACTCGTTCATCTGTGAAAAAAAAAATTGAAACCAAGTTAAAACTAAGAGGATAAGAGTCGATTAAGAAAACTAGAAAAAAATAAAATACTTTTAATTCTTTACTCTTAAATCAGCCCACTTAAAAAGAAGGGTCATAATTTGATTACTCATGTTAAGCACTCTAATACTATACGCGCCTATGTTTTTGTGAGTATATGTATGGATGGGATGGGATAGGATGACAACCCCCATAGGGGTTGTGAGTTTGACAACCCATCTCCTCACTATTGGATACGCCCTTTTTCCTGTCTCTTTCTTCTCTTTTTCAAATTGATGGTTAATATTAAACGAATGATATTTTTAGAATAGAAAAAATTTACCACACACAATCATTTACCCTCCCATATAAATTAAAAACAAAACTCTAACTCCTCCCTCTCCCTCTCCACCTCCTCCCTCTCTCACGCAGCCATCCACCATCGCAGCAGTCCTCCACCGCTGTCGCGGCCTCCATCGCCGGCGCCGCTGCCCCTGTCTCCCGCAGCAGCCCTCCACTGTCGCCATCTCTGCAATCCTCAGCCTCCCTCCATCCCCTGCCGTTGCAACTCTCTCTCTCTCTCTCTCGCCGGTCCGTCGCAACGTCCGCCTCCCACCACCGCGGCGCAATCATTCTCTCCCCATCGGAGCCCTCTCGCCGCCCTTCGTCTCTCACCACTGCCGCCATCGGGAGGTCACCCTCTACCCTGGCTCTCTTTACAGTCACCAACTCCCCTTTTCTAGATCTGGTTCTTTTTCTTGTTTCGACTAGTGGTACCATTTTTCTTCTAGTAGCGTACCAGTGATAGTGGAAGCTACCATTAGCGTACTACTACTAGCTACCAGATGGTAGTGGTAGCGTTGTACTGGTACCGTACCACTAGACTAATGGAATGATACACTTTTTAACGCACTGGTACATTTTTGCGGGTTGCTAGAGAGAGTCTGCCGAAGAGATTTCGCCGTCTGCTAGAAGAATTTCACCGGAGAAAAAGTCTGTCGGTCGAAGCGAATTGGTTGCTAGAAAAGGAAGAGAGAGATCTAAATGTATTTTATTGTACGATTTAAATTTTAAAAAATGACTTGTATTTAATGTGGGTTTTTAGTTCCCAATATAATTGATATATTATTTTAATTTTTTGTCATACCCAAAATGTTTTGTTGTCAATCTGACAACCCCAAGGAGATTGACGATATCCGCTCCCTATATGGATTGATATTCTATCATCTCAAACATGAGCCCTTCTAGTGTGCTCTATAGCACCCATGCTATAAAAAACAAAAAAAAAGGTGACCTGCTGAGGAGGTAAACCCACTAAATGACTGGTCCCACATCATTAATGGCAATCTTGTAAATAATGAATCAATGTATTAGTATAGGTACAAGTTTCAGCTGTACCATTAAAGAATTTGTTTCACAAAGTGTAGGTACAACTTAAAGTTGTACCATTAGTATAGGTACAATTTTGAGTTGTACCATGAAGGGATTTATTAGAAAGTGTAGGTACAACTTAAAATTGTACCATGTTATAGGTACAAGTTTGGGTTGTACCATTATAGAATTTTGAGAAAGTGTAGGTACAACTTAAGGTTGTACCATTAGTATAGGTACAATTTTTAGTTGTACCATAAGGGATTTGTTAGAAAGTGTAGGTACAACTTAAATTTGTACCATGGTATAGGTACAATTTTGGGTTGTACCATAGAAGGATTTTTAGAAAGTGTAGGTACAACTTAAAGTTGTACCATGGTATAGGTACAAGTTTGGGTTGTACCATAGAAGGATTTTGAAAAAGTGTAGGTACAACTAAAAGTTGTACCATTAGTATAGGTACAATTTTGAGTTGTACCATAAAGAGATTTATTAGAAAGTGTAGGTACAACTTAAAGTTGTACCATTAGTATAGGTACAATTTTGAGTTGTACAATAAAGGGATTTATTAGAAAGTGTAGGTACAACTTAAAATTGTACCATATTATAGGTACAAGTTTGGGTTGTACCATAGAAGGATTTTGAAAAAGTGTAGGTACAACTTAAGGTTGTACCATTAGTATAGGTACAATTTTTAGTTGTACCATA